AGTCTTCCAGGAGTCTGTGTGCTTACAGGATAGCCTTTCAAAAGATGTTTGCACTTTTGGACTTATAGCTGACTTGTTATTGGGAGGTGGGATCTGGTCAGAAGAAACAGGTCTCTGGGGCCTGGCCTAGATGCATTTGTCTCCCTTCATGGCTCCTCCCTTGACCCTCTGCTTCCTGGATTTAATGAACAGCTTTTTCTTGCTGTATCCCTGTGCCATGCTGTACTGCTTTGGAGTCTGCTGATTGTGGACTGAAAGATAGTCCTGTGAACCAAAATAAACCTCTTCTATTTTAAGTTATAAGTGTTGGGTATTGTGTTTCAGTGACAAGGAAAGTAACCAAGACAGATTTTGATACCACAGAAATGAGGTTGCTGCTGTGATGCTATCTGACCGTGTTGTTCAAAGCCTTTGGAATTGGTTCATGGGAGCAGTTTTGAAAGAGAGGAGGTGCTGATTGGAGAAACAGCCCTAGAAAATTATAAGCCAAGCTTGATGGAAAATTCTGGTGAGAGCTAAGAAGACCAGAATGCTGATAGAAATGCAGACAGTAAAGGCCAGGCTCAGTAGGTTTCAGCTGTGAACCATGACTTCATTGGCAAGTGAACTCCAGACCATGCGTGTTGTGCTCTGGCAGAAGGTTTATCTATATTCTGCTTATGTCCTGAGAGGATTGGGGAGACTGAGATTAAGTGTAATACGCTAATTAATTATGTAGAGGAAATTTTAAAGCACCCCTATGTTCAGCTTACAGCATGGATAATGCTTCCTGCTTTTAGACAGGCTTATGCTGAAAATCAGAGCAAAAATCTCATTTAAAAAGTCTTAAGATTTGCCAGAAGGGCTGGGGATATACCTCAGTGGCACAAGTGCCTGCCTGGCAAGTGTAAGGTCCTGAGTTCGATTCCAGGTACAAAAAACAAAAAAACAAAAAAGCAAAAAACCACGACAACAACAGATTTGCCAGAAAGAAAGTGTCACCAGAGATGGAGAAGAGGATGGCTTGATTGCTGAAAAGGTTGGCACTGAAATTCTTCAGATCAGGACAGTAAGAAAAAATGGCTTAAAAGAATGTCAGGAATGAGCAAGGCTCCACACTTTGTGGGTTCAAAATGGCCAAAACAAGAGACTTTGCTTTGTGAACAGCACTCAGGGCACCAGGCTCTAGAACAGCCACCTAGGAAATTTGTCTCCTAAGATTTGGTTCACAGTGCTTAGCCATCCAGGCACTGAGAGGCCTCTGCAGCAGAAACTCAAGGGAGCGTGGTTACTGCGCCAGGTATAGCAAACGCTGGCGTCATCCATGTGGTGCTGCATTTACGGCATGCATAATGTAAGAGTTGTGGGGTCAGGAAGGCTTCCACTCAGAAGAAAGCCTGGAAGGAGGCCAAGCAGAGTGCCCCTAAGAGGGTTGCATATGAAGCTGTGAAAGTAAAACTAAAAGCGCAGTGAAATCCCTAGAAAGTTGGAGAAGCCAGGAATGTGAACTGTCCAAGGGAAGCCAAAGGAAGGAGTGAACAAAGCTAGCCAGAGACAAGCCATGAAGTTAACAACCACCAGCAATACTGTAGGAGCAGAGGCTGCTCAGATCTCTGGAGTTCATATCTTCTTACGACTTGCCCAGGGAGCTACATACACAACTGCAGGATTTAACGTTTGCCCTGCCAGGTTTCAGTCTTGTGTTGGTCCCACTGGTTTCTATCCCCCTGTTTCTCCCTTTTGGAATGGGAATGTTTTTCCTGTGCCAGTGTATGTTGGCTGTATTTAACTTCCTTTTTGATTTTTGCACCGGCTCACAACTAAGAGTTTGCCTTATGTCCCGAGGGTACTTCAGACTTTGACTTTTGTCAGTGCTGAAACTATTAAGGCTTTGAGGATTCTTAGAAAGGGATTAAATACATTTTCATACATACATTTGGCATAAATAAATAAATAAATAAATAAATAAATAAAATTTGTGTAAAGAAATGCACATGAGCATTTTGGGGGCCAGAGGTGTAATATTATGCTTTATATCTAGATGTTCCCAAAGAGTTTCATGTGCTTAAAGGTGGGACTTTAAAAGATGATTGCATTATGGGAGCTTACTGATGATTTGCTATTAGGACACAGGGTCTGACTGGAAAAGGGTCATTGGGGGTGTGGTTTGGAAGGGCTGTCTCCCTTCCTGGCTCTTCCCTTAATCTTTTGTGCTTTTTGTCTTCAATACAAGAGCGACTCTCCTTTACCATGACCCTTTGACATGCTGTCCTGCCTTGGAGCTAGCCAACGAAGGACTGGGAAGTCAGCCAAAATAAACCTCTCTTCGTCTAAGTCTCAGGTGTTGGGTACTTTGTCCCCAGGATGAGAAAAGTAAGTAGGACTGTATCCCTCCTCCAACCTGCACAAATACTCTCCCACACTCTTCTGTACTACCCTTTACTCCACTGTAAAATAATTCAAACTGAGTCTGACTTTACATTTCCTTTTCACCTAGTGATACTTCTCTCTCCCTCTTCTGTCACTGACTTGCTCCATCCTTTTCTCTTTGTCTTTCCTTCCCCCTCCACATCGAGTCTGTTAGTAGCAGTATACTACAGTCTGTAAGGGGTAAAACTGATAGAAGGGTAAAGTTGTTGAAACAAATTTTAATGCTCATGATTATGGTTGGCTCTGTTGATGCTGTTTTAGCTAGAAGGAATTCTCTTCTTGCAACACAGTGACTAGATTTAATCCTATTTTATGTAATACATTGCAGTTCTAGACAATATCTCTTGGAAAACAAGGCCAAGTTCGCATAGCCAGAAAGGAGAATGTAACTAATGAGAGCTTTATACCAACATGAATGTTTTGTTAACACAGTTGACCTCATCCTCACCAATGCGTGTGCACACTCATGTACACGCATACATACACATGCGCGCACAAACACACAAATAGAAACATGAAAGGACAGGGTAATAAAAGTCTCCAAAACTCCCAAATCTCCCAAAACAGTTTCAAGGGGGTATCAATAAAGAGAGAATCAAACACTAACAGCTGAATTGTACAAAATATTGAAAGAGGAAGCATGTAAAATTGTCTAGCTCAAAGATGCTATAATCAAATAAATAGAATTAATAAATTAATTGATCAATAAATTTAAGGAAGAGTCAAGCAAAAATTAGAAAAGCTAGCCACAACCATTGAAAACACAGATGAAAAATTTATCAGAGTGAATGAACCCAACAGTGCCTGAAGTCTGGTGGAGTGAATACACCAAGCGGGATGAGTAGTGAAACAAAAAAGGAAGTCTCAAAGAACTAAAAAGAGAAAAATCAATGCAATGACAGGGGTAGATCAATAGCTATCAATAATAACTGTCAATGTAAAAGACCTCACTCTCCAGCCAAGAGACTGAGAAGAGACTGGATTAAAAAGCCCTCAATAATATACTGCCTATAAGAAATACATCTAATCCAAAAAGAAATTCACAGACTAAAAGAAAATCTGCCAAGGCAATTATGTACAGAATAAAGTACACAGTGCTCAGTAACAATAGCTGTTATTATTGCTATTTTCCTGGTTCACCACCCACTGCCTAGCCATAAATGTAAATATAGCAGCTATTTCAACTTTTATGGCCTGTGATTTAAACAACGTCCTGTCTTTTGAGCTGCAGAGTAATTGCCATAATGTGCGTTTGCAAGATGTCAGAACATATTTGGTTGTTCATGTCATCCCTGGCCTGATGATATTTATATATGAAGAGAATTTGAAATCTTCCTCCTAGGTAAGGCTTCTTCCATTGAATAGATGATTGAATCTCTAAAATTTAAAAAAAAAACAGGCCAATGTGAAGGCTGAAAATCAACAGAGTTTTGATTCCTACCCTGGAAAACTTGACATAGAACCTTAGCCTCCATTTTTCTCCCAGCTCTAGATATTACTTTGTGTAATATCTTGGAACCTGTATGTCAGGTTGTAAGTTTCATTCCTATGGACAGACTATGTTCTAGTATGTTTAGGGTGCAGTTGAGAGACTGACTCTGTACCTCAGCCTTCCACATGACCTCAGCCAGTGAGGAAATGTCCTCAGGGATATGCAAGCTGAGTGAAAGCCCAAACTGTTATCACACAGCGTTTAGAGCCCTCCGTGTCCCAGCTCCGGATACTCAAGGGCTTACTACGGCAGTGCTTCATCACGTAATATTCCAGACCAGAAATGTAGGCTGTTAATGGATTAAAGAATAGGGAAAAGATTTAATCAGGTGAAGACACATTGTTTCTAGATAAATACTCCTCAATATGTGTTTCTAAAGTAATATTTACAAAAAAACAGAAGTAATTAATTCCTGGGAGAGCAAAGCCTTAGACAGAAGCATATTTCTTCTAATAAAGGTCTCAGTTACATACCATGATTCCTGAAGAAGCTGTTTGCTTATTTTCAGGGCAGATAAAAAGGGGTATTTAATGACAGAAATATTTGTGTCTCTTGTTCTGTAGCTGTAGATTTAGGTGTGGGAGACCAGAAGACTGTTTTTAGTGTCTAAGGACTTTGAGATTGAAATCTAATATAGTACTTTCTTTTTCTGTTTGCTTTTTCTGACATGAATTCCTTCAAACATTATCTTCAGCTAAAGAGGCAACCACAATAAGTTATCTAGAAGTTCTGATTTTTAATCCAGTTTCATTTCCATGTTTTTCCCAAGGGTTTGGAATTAAGATCATTGGAGCATTAATTTCTGACACTTGATCAGTGATTACATTTAGATATTTTAGAATATTTTACAGAAATATTTATTCTCCTAAAGTGTCAGTATAAATGTATTTACAGTTTCTTAGCAAAAGGCATAAAGTTTATGGTGTTCGGAGTTAATTTCTAGGCTTTTCAGCTTGGAGAGAGTGGGATACCTAGACAGGTTGCAGAGCGTTTCCTCCACAGTGGTTTGGGTGGTTGGAGGTGGTTTGTGTACAGTCACTCATGTCCTCTAAATAATCCTCTGACTTTGATAATTTACAGGGATGAAAAAGAGGCAAAAATCTCGCCTTGTACTGGTGGGAGGAAGTATCAGATGCAACTGAGAATACAAAGTCTAATTGGCAGCAGAGCTGAGATGAGGTATGTGAACGTCACTGCCATTAAGACAGGTCAGCTCGGGAGGGAGAGAAACATTCAAATTCTGTTTTAAAAAGGAATCTTGCAACTGTAAGACTGAGACCTAAGAAGTAAATGCATTACAGTATAAGATCTGCAAGGAGGGAGTGTACCCTCTGCAGTGGTTGGGGGTCTTGCTAAAGTCCAGGCTCAGGTGACAGTTTATTTTTAGTTTATCAGACTTCCTCAGATATTGTTCTTGCCAGGTATGAGCTTGTTTCTGCTGCAATGAATTTGGTCTCAACGATGGCTCCATTTCTGCAGCTTTCCATTCAGCCTCAGCATTCTTTTTCACGCCATCCAGGCAGATATTGATAAATGTAAATATTGGCTGTATTCTTGGGGTTATCTTTCCTTAAACATACTCATTTTAAGGCTTCCTATGAAAGATGACTATTGTGGTGGGATAAACCTCACAGTGGTAGGTGTTACAAGACCTGGGTTCTATTGTCCTCTGCCCCAGTCACTGAGGTTATTTCTTTGGACTTTCTTTGTCTGGTCTTCAGGTTCTTCATCACTGAATCATATATGAAATAATAAAATGAAAGGTATCTGAGGAATTCTAAAGCATCACAGTTCTACAGACTTGTCTGATGGAAGCTTACATTTGTGTCAGACTCTACATTTCATAGGGTGTCAAAAAAATCTGCCATGGATCCCTTGGGGTCACAGGCTGTGGCTTTAGGCATTAGTCCACTTCTCTACGCACCAGCACTGTTGATCTCTAAAACTAAACAGGATCTATACGGGGAAGGTTCTGAGTGTGTGCTGATGAGCTGGAGACAGATAACCTGGGTTTGAATACAACTTCCTCTATTTTTTATCATCCTTATGACTTTGGGCAAGTTATTTCTTTCTCCTAACCATAATTTACTTTTCTTTAAAATACAAATAAAATTGTACCAACCTTATAGCATCGTTGTGAGGATTAGATGAAATAGCACCTATAAACCATTTATTATAAGCTAAGCAGGTACCGTACACTACATAATAATTCTTTTATAAGAAGCAAGTGATGGGAAAAATAAATCTGTACCTGTTATTAGGAATGGGGAAAGGAGAGCTACAGGCAAAGTTTCCTTTGAAAGCGCTTAAGTATGTGAAATTTAAAGAAGTCAGAAAGGTTTTTGGGAGTAAGTTTGGGAATGTTTGTTTAGATTCTTGCCTCTCAGTTAAAATACGAGGACCCTTTTATGGAGGATCAGGGTTCTTTTTGCTGCAAAAATACAACTCTCAGAGGATTTGTGTTCTGATGGGTACATTCTTGGTCTTTTGACTGGACAGAAAATCACACTGATTTTGTGTTTGTGCCTGCCGATTAACACCAACTTCACCCAATTTAATATAAAGCTGAGTTGTTTGTGTGTTTTTGTTTGTGTGGTGTGTGGTAAAAGGAGTCAGGCAGAAATTACAAAAGAGAACTCTCTTTAATTGTATACAGAGAAAGTCAAGGTTTGTAAGAAATGAAACTACAAGTTGAAATTAAAATGAGTGTGCTGAGTTTAGGCTTTTCTGTTGGTTTCAGTGATGAAAATCTAACCATTGACACAGATCTTTAGGAAGTTATAGAAACATATTCATCCATTGTTGGTTCTCCCAAGAGCCATCTCCTCTAGAGATGAATTGGCAAGTAGGAGTGCACTCAATTTTATTCTCAGGGGTTCTTGTACCTGAAAGGATTGTCTAGCACACTGGATATGAGGAAGTAAGGCCATGACTCTGGGCTGGGAGCTGTGAGACAATCTACACAAGGAAGCACTTGTGGGATCATCTGGAATAGGTTTCCTTTCTAACTCCCTCATCATGTGTCATGTCCATACATACAGGGACAATTCATGTTACCTTTCATTACATTTGTGTTTTAAGAATGCATAACAATAAATAAAATGGAGCTGAGGTCCTTGTAAATGTGAGAATTAATAATGACAAATTTTAGTTTTCAATACTATTATGAAGTTTAATTGAATTCTATGTGACGTGCTTTCTGCATTAAGTAAATGAAAACAGATTTTGAATTAAGTGGGTTCTGGTTGAATGTTCAGACTTGGCTAACCAGTTATCCATATAAATTATTGACAAATAGCATGTTAAAAGCAGAGAATAATCATCTTTAGCTGGTAGACTAAAAATGATGTTTGGAATGTTCTGTGGGACAGTCATGACAGTGTCACTCTCTGTTCATCTGGTGAATTGTTAACAACAATATCCTCAGTACTACTTACACTTAGAACAACACTACTTTAGTTATATTCAGATAATATTTCCCTAGTTCCCACCGTGTGCCAGTGTAAGAGAGCCCATATTTGTTGTCTAACATATTCTACCGAATTTGAACATTCATGATTTCAATTTAGGCCTCCAAGAAAAACCAGAAATTATGCATTTTTCTTATACTAGAATTATTAGTGCAAACTCTAGCAATTAGGGAAGACAGAAAAAGATCACACCTAATCTCACATCTTGAAGTAAATGCTCAAAATGTGTTAGCTAATTTACTAATGAACCACTTCCTATACATATGCTTTTAATGGCCGTATAGAATTGGCATATTTTAATTTTATTTTTGATTGTTATGTAATAGTTGTACCTACTAATGGTATGAAATGTGCTTTTATTTATTTTTTTCTGGTACCAGGCATTGAACCCAGGACCTTGTGCTTGCCATGTGCTGCTGAGCTATTTCCCTGGCTGTGGTATTTCAAAACACGCATATAACATGCACTGATCTAGTCAGGGTAATTAGCAGTTCCCTTTCCTTTCAATTCTTATTTTGAGAGTTTGATCTGTTCTACTCTAGATGTTCAAAACCTATTGGTTACTGTGACCTGTTGTCATCCCACCAGGCTGTAGAACTTCAGAATTATGCATCTCCTCATACTCTGCTCCCCTGGTAATTGCTATTCTATGTGTTCAGATTGATGTTTTTGAACTTCCACATACGAGAGAGAACGGCATGTGGTATTCTCTCTGGATTATTTCACTTAACATAATGTCCCCTAGTTCTACCTATGTTATCAAGGATGAGGAAAAAGAAACTTTCCTACATGTATTTTATTGTAGGTAGAACAAAACCTATGGAAAATTTTCTGTGAAGGTTTTGAACTTTATTATCAAAATATACATATAAAATCTATAATCTTCAAACTCTAATTTCATGCCTATTATCACTAACATTTTACCCTTAGTGTGCTTACAAAATTATGACTAGATTATACAGATTATTTCATGGCTCTAAATGATAGTACTTCATATATACATCTTATTGGTATCCAAAATTATTACTTCTAATGACTACTTTATACCACTATACTGATGTTCAAGTGAAGTATTAAAAATAGTCCCCTGATCCTAGCACAAGAAATCCATTTGTTCTGAATATTCTAGTTCTTGTAAGAGTACTTTGAAGCCAGGAAACTAAGAGGGTCAATTAAGACAAGTTTTGAGATTTCCATTTATAAAGAGATTTGGGAAGGAAAAGAATAACCCATGAAGTGCTAGGGCAATGAAAAGGCAGAGTTTTGGATTATTTGACTTTCTGTGGTTCTTTTCTCTTTCTTTCTCTGAAGCTTAAACATTTGTATCTGGAATTCTTACCACCCACACTGAGTGCATGGAGAATCGCAGGAACGTGACCGAGTTCATTTTAATTGGTCTCACACAGAACCCTGGGATGCAGAGAGCCGTGTTTGTGGTCTTTCTGGTTCTGTACATGATCACGCTTTCCGGAAACCTGCTCATCGTGGTCACCACTGTCAGCAGCCAGGCTCTGAGCTCGCCCATGTATTTCTTCCTGAGCCACCTTTCCTTGATAGACACAGTTTATTCTTCTTCTTCAGCTCCGAAGCTGATTGTGGACTCCCTGCATGAGAAGAAAGTCATCTCCTTTAACGGCTGTATGGCTCAGGTGTACGCAGAACACATTTTTGGTGCTGCCGAGATCATCCTGCTGACGGTGATGGCCTACGACCGCTATGTGGCCATCTGCAAACCTCTGCACTACATGACCGTCATGAGCCGCAAGCTCTGCGTTCTCCTTGTGGGGGTGGCGTGGACTGGAGGATTTCTGCATGCAACTATTCAGATCCTCTTTACCGTGTGGCTGCCCTTCTGTGGCCCCAACGTCATAGACCACTTTATGTGCGACTTGTACCCTCTGTTGCAACTTGTCTGCACGGACACGCACACCCTTGGTGTATTTGTTGCTGCCAACAGCGGGCTCATCTGCCTGTTGAACTTCCTCCTCTTGATGGTGTCCTATGTGGTCATCTTGCGCTCCCTGAAGAACTATAGCTTGGAGGGGAGGCGCAAAGCCCTCTCCACCTGTGTGTCTCACGTTACAGTCGTTGTTATATTCTTTGTGCCCTGCATATTTGTGTATCTGCGCCCAGTGACCACTTTGCCAATTGACAAAGCAGTGGCTGTCTTTTATACCGTGGTGGCACCTATGTTAAACCCTTTAATCTACACCCTGAGAAACGCTGAGGTAAAGAGTGCAATGTGGAAGCTCTGGAGCAGAAAGGTGACTTCAGCGAATAGTTGACCATGATCAATGAATATTACACAGAGAGGTAATAGATGTGATGTCATCTGAGTTTCTTGAGCTACAGGTGAAGACATCAGCTGTAAGAAGGATTTATGTAGCATTTTCAGATAGCTATTTAAGCACTGGAGTGTAATCTAGAATTACTGTCTCCTATCACATACTCTTGTTATTATAGCTACTGCTTCTTAATCAATCAATATTTATAAATGAACCGAATTTCTGCAACATCTCCGTAAACTCCAAAGTGTGAATCTAGAATATTGCATTGGTATTAAAGTAATGTTAGTGTAATATTGAGTTATTGCTTACTACTGCTGATTAATATGGACATGTTTAATGATATTCTTTTACTTTGGACTCTGACCTCCATTCTAGAGAGATCTCTTGTTCTATTTGTCTATAGAACAAGAAATAGTGTTTATCTAATGTCTATAAAGGTGGCCCTGTGTTCCATATTGTATGGGTCAAGTCCAAGCAGGAGTACACAACTTTCCTGATTTGAAAGGGGATATTTATGTATAGTTACTAGTTAACATCAGAGGATTAATGACAATGGCATAGATACTGCTTGGGTACCTAAGGAAGGTATATGTTTTGAGGCTAGGTTCCTCCCTGAGGCTGGGATTCTAATATTTGGGAAGTTGTAGTTGTTGATTGTTGAATGGTAAAGTTCGCTGGTCTTTTTTTTTTTTTTTTTTTGTGCTAAGTCATTGAGACAAACAGATTTCTCACCTGAAATTATGATAATTAGTATGCACTGGAGTGATATATTCAAAATGCTGGAAGAAAAAGACTGGATTTCTTCTTCAAGAAAATATTCTTCAAAAATGCAGGAGAGACTAAGATATTCACAAACAAAAACAAAAACCAAACAAAACACCACTACCAACTGCAATAAACAAGTAAAGGCTTCATTAATAGCACATGTGCTCATACTAAGGTGTGTCTTTCAGGCTATGATGAAGTTGATGCCAGATGGTAACCCAGTCCACAAGAAGATATCAAGAGCTCTGGCAGAGGTAACTGCATGTGTAAAGGAGAGTACTTATGTATTTTACTTTATAACTCTGTTTTCCTCTTATCTGATTTAAAAAGCAACTGCATAAGGCAATAATTATAAATATGTGTTAATGAGAATACAACATATAAAGATGTAATTTGAATAGCAAGAACACAAACTATAGAATAGTAATAGAGCCATATTGGGACAATTTTCTTATGTAATATGGTAATGTGTATTAACCCAAACTAAGTTGCTATAATATGTCAATTACACTCCAATTAAAGTGCAAAGATTTAGAGAATGAACGCAAAAAACACAATCCAATATGCTTTCTGCAAGAGAAATACCTCAGATTCACAGACACAAATAAGTTGAAAGTAAAAGTATGGAAAAAATTTCTACCATGTAAAAAGTAAGAAAACAACTATTATTAGACAAATAAAATTTGAGACATAAATTGTTATGAGAGACCAAGGAGGACAATTTATAATGTTGTAATAATCTAGATATAATAATCATATACACATATAGATACAACTCATAAAAGAGCCCCAAAATACAGGAAGCAAAAACCAGCAAGGGAGAAAGAGGCAATCTAAGATAGTGCTTAGTGAAAATGTATAGCTGTTCTATATTCCCCTTCTGGGTATTTTCCCAGAGGTTCTGAAAACATCATATCACAGCGATATATGTGCACTCATGTTCATTGCAGCACAATGTGTAATTGCTAAATTGTGGAAGCAACCCAAATGTCCATCCACTGAAGACTGGATAAGAAAATTGTGGTACTTTTATATAATGGAATATTACTCAGCTATATAGAAAGATAAACTCAAGGCTTTTATAGGTGAATGGCCACAACTAGAGATCACACTCATAAGTGAAATAAATCAGACCTCCATGTGTAAGTGACATATTGTCTCACTAGTGTAAGAACCTGAAAGAGTGAATAAAAACTAGGAGGTATGATAGACATTGTGAAACGAAAGGCAAAGGCTCAGAAGTAAAGGGCAACTGAGGTGTGGGAAAAGAGAAGGGAAAGAAGGGGAAATTATGTATGTATGTATATACAGGATAGCTAACATAGTTGTGCTACTGTCTTCTATTGCTTTACTGAAAAAACAGTCAATGATTAGTTGTTTGATCCATCTTGCATGTCTCTATTTGTTTTCCTGAGAAACCACTTTGAGGATATCAATATGTAACACAACAACCATTGTTAATTTCCTACCACTTTGTCTGTAACTCTGTATTGTTTGTATTGTTCCTATGCTATTTTGTAAATGGATATCTGTTTGTTAATGTTTTCCTTCTTTTATTTTTAAAATAAATTAAAAAAGGAAAATGTATAGCTATTAATGTTTATATATAAAAGAAACAAAGATATTAAGTCAGTCACCTTACCTTTTCCCTTGAGGCCACTGGAAAAATTGGAACAAACTAAATCCTATTATTCTAGGATCAAAGGTTGTTTTAATACATGGAGAGCAAGCAATGTAATGTACTATATTACTAGTACTAGTAATGATAGCTGCTGTTATTATTATTTTTGCTGGATCTCTGCTCCCTGCATAGCCATATTTGTAATGTTTCAACTTTTATGACCTGTGATTGAAACACTTGTTTTCCAGACTGCAGAGAGTAATTTCCATAATATGTGTGATGTCAGAACATATTTGTTTGTTCATATTTCCAGTGTCCTGAGGATAACTATGTAGGGAGAGAATTTGAAGTCTATTTGCCTAGGTGAGGCTTCCTCCCTTAAAGAGCCCATGGAATGCCTAACATTCCACAAAATGTCAAGGGGAAGGGGCGAAAACCAACACAGAGTTTTGGTTTCTACATTTGGAAGCCACAGGAGACTTTCAGCCTCCATTTATATCCCAGCTCTAGGCACTACTCTGTGTGGCTGTATTTCAGGTTCCAAGTTTCATTCCTATGGACAGACTATGTTCCAGTATGTTTAGGGTGCAGCTGAGAGATTGACTCTGTACCTCAACCTCCCAAATGACCTCAGACAGTGAGGAAATGTCCTCAGGGATATGAGAGCTGAATGAAAGCTGAAACTGTTATCACAGCGCATTTAGAGTCCTCTGTGTCCCAGCTCTGGATACTCAAGGGCTCACCAGAGCAGTGCTTTATCACCTAGTGTTCCAGACCAGAAATGTAGGCTGTTAATGAATTAAAGCACAGGGAAAAGATATAATCAGGTGAAGATACATTGTTTCTAGATAAATACTCCTCAATATGTGTCTCTAAGGCAAACTTCTTTATAAAGCAGAGATAATTCATGAGGGGAGGGCAAAGAATTAGATAGAAGGATACGTCATTTAATAAAATTTCCAGCACCTTCTCTCCACACCATGTTTCCACAAGGTATTTTCTTATTTTCAGGGTAGAATAAGAAGAGACATTCCTTGTGAAAAGTATCTGTGTCTCTTATTCTGTAACCTTAGCTTTGGGGGCAGAGAAGATCAGGTAATCTTTTTAGCACCTAAGGACTTCGAGTTTCACACACAACGTAGTACTTTCTTTTTCTTTTTGATGTGAATTCCGAAGGCACTGGAACTCTGACAAATTGCTTATTGAATTCGCTTGCCAAATTGGGTGCCATCTTGACATTTTCAGCTTCCTGTGACACTGTGTGGTTAATGAGGATTTGAGAAACGTGTACGATAGAAGATGTTGCTGGAATAGCTGTGGGTAATGATTACTTCATATTTCTGAATACACTGGGCTTTCTTCTTAACCAAAGAGGTAACCAGAGTTATCTAGAATTTCTGATGCTTAAATCTAGTTTACTTCATTTCTATCTATCCACAAAGGGGTGTTTTTCCATTATTTTTATTCAATTTAATTTTGGGGTTTAACATGTTTTAAAAACATTTGTTTTTATTTGTTCATGTTTTCAGTACATAATGACTACATTCCTCATAGGGAGATGATACGCGTTCATAAAAAAGCTTTTTCTTCTTTTCATCCCCGCTGCTCTCCTCCTTCCTGGATCCCTCCATATTCAAGCTTAAATATTGATGGTATCTCTTCTGTAAGAAACCCAAATATATATAAAATCCACATGGGATTTGTAACTAAAGCCATTGAAGAATAATCTTCTAATATTTGATGAAGGATTCACTCTTATATATTTTAGGGTATTTTGCAGAAATACTTGTTCTCTGAAAGTGTCAGTATGGACATACTTACAATTTCACAGGAAAAGGTTTACAATTTATGGAAATCTATGTTAATTTCTAAGCTTTTCGGCTTGGAGAGAGTTCAGTACCTAGATGGGTTGCTGAGCGTGTTCTCCACTGTTTGATAGAGGATATGGTGGTCAGGGTGTTTGGAGATTGGTTTATGTAAAGTCATTCATGTCCTTGAAATAATCCTGTGACTTTGATAATTTCCAGGCATGAAAGAGAGGCAAAATCCCACTTTGTAATGCTTGTACTGATGGGAGGAAATAGGAGATGCAACTGAGAATAAAAAAGGCAAATTGGTAGCAGAGCTGAGATGAGGTGTGTGAACTTCACTTCCATCAAGACAGGCCAGCTCAGGAGGGAGAGGAACAACCTTTGAATTCTGTTTTACAAAGGAATCTTTCAACTCTAAAACAGACCCAAAAGGCAAATGCATGAAAAAATAAGATCTGCAAGGAGAGAGTGTACCCTCTGCAGTGGTTGGGAGTCTTACTAAAGTCCAGGCTCAGGGCGACAGTTATTCTAAGTTGATCAGATTTCCTCAGATATTGTTCTTACCAGACATGAGCTTGTTTCTGCTGCAAGGAATTTTTTCCTAGTGATGGCTCAATCTCTCCATCTTTCAATGTAGACTCAGCCGTCTTTCTTTAGACAGATATAGACAAATATGAGTTATTAATTCTCTGTCTTCTTGGGGTTATTTTTCCCTATATATCCTCATTTTAAGGCTTCCTAAGGAAGGCAAATATGGTGGCAGAAAAGAAACCATAATGTCATAAAAAACCTCTAGTATTATTAGTAATTGGTAGACCTGGGTTATCTTGTTTTCTGCCACTAGTCAGTGAGGTTATTTTCTTGGACTTTGTCTGGTTCTCAGTGTCTTCATCTTTAAGGCATGTATAAATTAATAAAATGGGAGATACCTGAGGA